AAAGTTTGAAAAATCCAGGAAAAACCGCTGGAATGTGTTCCTCTGCAAATTGCACGTGAGCTTTCTTTTCAATCGACACATACGCAGGTGTTAGTTACGTTTTCGAACAGCAAAAAATTTGTTGTTCGGAAGCGTAACTAACACCTGCACATATGTTGATTGCGACTACTGCGAGTAGCTTATGCAAATTTTGGCCTAGGCCTGGCTCTGTTGTAACACTTTTCCCTGCTTCATTGTGCAACACGGTTAGTTGTCAACTATGAGAGAAATTTGTGTCTTGTAGTTTATTCAGATTTTCAAGTATGACGTCGATAAGGTGGTTGCGATTTTGTTTTCCTATATGAAGTTAAGCTCACTTTATATTAGAAAGTGCTTGTATTGCAGCTCTAAGGGTACGCATCTCTACGCAGTGCTAGGTGTGGATAAGAAGGCCACTGACGAGGAGATCAAGAAGGCGTATCGGAAATTAGCGCTAAAATATCATCCTGATAAAAATCTCGATGGCGATCCGGAGAAAACGGAGAAGGTAAGCTTTTAATAAGTTGCGATCTATCACCGTCTAATTCAAATTTCCTGTTTTATGATGACTCTTTAGTGAGTTTGCCTTTTCCTTCACGCTATTACTCTCTACTTTTACAAGCGCGGTCTTGTAGAGGTAGTGGCTAATAGTGGAAATATCTTAATTTGTTTACATTATGTTTCGAAGATAATTAGATCTTATTTTTAGTTCAAGGAGATTAACTATGCAAACGGTGTACTCTCAAATCCTAACAAACGAAAAGTGAGTATTAACCTATTTCTTTTTCACCCTAGATCTCTTGATTTGAAGTTTTATCTGGTCATTCAAGCTTCGATAAAACCACATTTAATTATGAAGATTAGGATAATTTTGCTGTTTATTAGAAAATCTTATACGCTCACATATGATAGATTATTCAGGCTATAAGCTACAGAACGTACTTTAAAAGAAAAGATTCAAAGGTTCAGACTTTATGTCGAAAATTTGCTAACATTTCATTTTTTCTTGGTAAAGTCTTGCTTCTACCCTCTGTTGTTTTCAAAAGTGTTGCGTTGATGTGTGTATTTGTATGTTTGGAGAAAAGTTCTTTCCAGCTGACGTGCAGGTAATTTCTAAACCCTAGAGAATATCTATGGGAGTTTTGCAAATGGGATTAGGGGAATCACTGCCTTATCCTAAGTCTTTTTTCCTTGTTAAGATAGTCAGTTTTTGCCTCATTCAAGATCTACGATGAAATGGGCGATACTGGCCTTAAGCTCATGGAACAGTTTGGAGAAGACGAAAAGGTTTTACAGTGGATGCTCAAACCTTGGTTTAAGGCAGGCTTTGTTTTTTGTATCATTCTTTTACTTTTTTTAAAAAATATTTTTAGTGGGTTTTCTTCGGATTTGGATTGCTCACATGTGGATTCTTCTGCTGTTGTTGCGGTTGTATGTGCTGTTGTAAATGCTGTTGTAACTTCTGTTGCGGTAGATACGTTCCTAAAGAGGACATGGTGGGTAATTTTGTATCTTGCTCTGGAAAGGTTTGTATAGATTGAGTTGGTCCAAGATTATAGTCTTTGTTTAACCCTTTCCATGCAAACTGCTGCCTATTTCCGTTCAGCGAAATCGATTCAACGGTAACGCTAGTGAAAGTGCA